TACGGAAGATGTTCTCTTTATTAGTGGGAGCAGCGAGGAAGTGAAAGGGGCTTACAAAAAGGGTTAGCCCGTGTGTGTTTGTGTGTGTGCTAGCCAAAGGTTTTCGGAGACAGATGACAGGAACTGAGACGCATCTGTTATATCAGTCCCATGCAGAAACCTACATTTCCCAGTTTTCCGGTTGTAGTTGGACAGGATTTCAGGAAGCCTTTCTGACACAAAGATTTCTTAGAACTACTGTAGAGATACATTGACTAAAGTTTTGCCATCTGTGTTTCCTAATGAAGGGATTGAGAAAATGATCAACTTGCTTGAGATTGTAAATCCTTACTTATCTCTGATTTGTCCATATTTTAAAGTCATAGGGAAATCTTATTTAAATGTCAAATCATTCTGGCTTAAACATGTATATAAATGTACTCTTTATCAGATGATATTGTTCCAAAATTTTGAACATTTATATTAAAAAAAAAAATTTTATTCTGTTTTTTTTTTGTTATCTTATGCAGGCCAGTTAGTTATACGTCAGCTTGTACATCCAAATTGGCCATTATATATCAACGGTCATCTGTCAATCAAAATTTTAATTCAAATGTCGCAGCTAATATACGCAACCGTTGAAATATGAATCATTTCCCATTGAGTTCCATCCCAGTGTTCACGGGGATGGACGTCTGTGTCTTCAGCAGGCGTAGAGCTAACAGAACTGGGAACGCTGTGAGGCAAGGGCTCAAACATGTACGGCTGTAAGCCTTCTACACCAAACCAAGCTTCTGCCGCCCTGGCGTCCTCTTCCACAACATCTTCGTCCCCGCTTTCCTCCTCTTAATAAAAAATGTATGACGCAGGAGACTCATCCACGACCTCTGACACAAAACTCCCCTCCTCTTGCATGTTTCCTCTGTCCATACCGTTCCTTGAAGGTGTCGTTTCTAAGTCACCAATTTAGTGCTACTTGGTCCCAATGGAATTTCCCATTGGGAACCTACTAGCACAAAGTTGCTAACTGGTTAGCAAGATGCTTCCAACAAACCGGCTACAATCAAACTTTCTTGCGAACCTTCTGCCACAACAATCCCGCCCCCTTGATAAATGACCAATCACATTCACTTTATTCCCTCTTGTAAAGTCGTGCACCACTCAGGAGAATTCGGAAATGCAACAGTTGGAGAAGCCGTTTCCCTACGACTTTATAATCAAAGTTGTCCAGTGATGGACAGTATTAAAGGTACACTATGCAACCGGTGTTGATTTTCCAGCGAGGCTCCCCCCAGAGGGCGAAAGTAAAAGTGCACTGTTGTAAATATGCACAGCTGTTCTCCTGGTTTCTCCGTCAAGCCAGGCGCGGTTGTTTTGAGCTTAGCAGCGAATGACTAATGCTGCGTTCACACTGGACGTAGCTGGCGCGACAGAAGCAGCGAGTTTGCATGCAAAGTCAATGGTTGACGCGCGTCAAGGCGCAGCAAAAGGTCCCGCGGCGCGTTTTGAGCTGCAGGCGCAGCGCGTCGGGCGTCGGGCTAAGCATCTGACGCAGGGAGAGAGACACAGCGCTGATGATCAATCCTCTTTTATTGACGCCTAAATTAACTTAAAATGCAGAAATCTGCCGGCAGAATATGCAGTTTGGATTATTTAGATGAAAAACACCTACCAGCTGCCGTGGTGAACCGCAAGGAGGCAACCCGGCCAGAGGCTGCTGATGAAGGGATCCCTACTTTCGGCGCATCCCTGGTATGTGGGGGTCTGAGCGGCTCCGACAGAAAAAATATTGAAGGCAGGGTAATAATCTGAATGAACTGACTGCACTGATTACGTTTTCGGGTGTATTTTCTCACTTAAACACATATTAAAACTACTTTATTCCCACTGATCACAGCAAATATAGCTGCAAGGCAGAGAAAGGATAGTGAAGCTCCGCCCAACGCGCGTCAGACCCACTTTTGCACCGCGCAGCCAGAGCAGCAAAGCTGTTTCAGCCGCGCATCAGAACTAACTGGTACAAGCAGCAAAAATGAAGCAGCAGACGCAATTTTGCTGCTTTTGCTGCGTGAACGTAGCATAACTGCACAAAGATCGCCACTGTGCTAGCAACGAGAATGCTTTTAACTGGGGGGTGTAGCAGTTCTCGCCGTAAAGCAAGACTGACTCTCACGAGACTTCTGAGCCTGTGGGTGCGGGTCGGTGCTCCTGCAGTTGCAAGTGCAGTATTTCCCCCACAGACCACCAGGGCGGCCGAGAATACCTTTGTTCAACCTGAAATGACTCATTTAATCATCCAAAACATTATGGAACACATTAATTAACTGAAAAATGTTGCATAGTGTGCCTTTAATGAAAGCTCCAACAAATAAAAAGTGAAGAAAACAGAGACGTTGCTGTAGTTTGTCCAGCCAACCCGTTATCCTGTTCCCTCACACAAAGCCGGAATGAGCGGCACATTTCTCTAAATGTAATAGAAAACAGTCTCCTTATGCTGGAAGTTACCACCAAGGAGACGTCTTCACTCAGTAAAAAGCTCCTTGCAGAAGTGTGTTGTTCTTTTTTTGCAACCTAGTAGTGAATAGATATAAATAGTGTGTATTATAGTATGTTGGATCAACAGTATCCAACTGGTTTAAGCTGAAAACTCTCCTTCCATCTTTAAATATTAGTAAGACTAAAAGTTATTCAGAGTCTTTAAAAGTTAGATTAATGTTAGAAAAACAGGATAATTTCATCTAGACCCTGCAGTGAATATTTCTTTAATAATGATTTGTTTTTTTCGCCAAAACAAGCCAAGCGCAAGATAAAAGTATTCAATGTTTTTTTTAAACGGGTACCAGTTTAAACTTGTAATTTTTGCAGCACATTAAAAAAGAACAAGACCACTTTATAACCACTGTGTTGCTTAATTTTTGAATCCTAACTTCCTGACATGATTAAGTTGGTATTGAGTGTGTACTCCAGGAGTGTCGTCATACGGACAGCTCATTCTCTGACTTCTGATTTGCTGCTCATTCTGTGCTGTTTTTCCTGATCATCCGTGCTTAACTAACCATCTTAATTCAATTTAGGAGAATTCTCTCTGCTCCCTTTGAGATTTATTTTTGGAAGACACACAAAGGAAGAGAAGGTCTAATTGTGTACCCTGTTTTTCATTAATTGATTATATAACTAAACACTCGTCTGATGTAACTGATGTAACTGATTTGGTTCGATGAGGGGATCCACGTTTCTCATGCCTCTTAGCAAAACTTGATCCACTGCTCAGTGTTTTTTAGTGCAGAATGATAATAATAATGCATGCTGCCATTTAAAATAATGAGAAGTGGAGACCTTGTTAATCGGAGGGTGCGGACCTTAGGGCAGGGAAACGTGTGCCCATTTGTGTACAAAACGGACAGAGATAGTAAATGTGGCAGCAAAAAGACACTTAAGTGTTTTATCAGATAGTGATGGCTAAACAGGAAAGGATGGCGAACTCTAATTATTTCCTTTTGCTCTAAAAACAAAGTTCCTCCTCATTTTTTATCCATTAACAATGGGGTGTATGCAGAGATTAAAGGTGATTGTGCTGAATGGTAATCTAGGGTTTTTTTGGTATTGGGTGCTCCATAAAAACTGAGGAACCTCAATATTTCCATATTTTTTTCATGCCGATGTTAGACATTCAAAATGTGTGCTACCCACAATCTAACAGGCTTATGCAGCGTAACTTATGATTTGTGGTTTGGTATGAGCCCAGCATTTATTTTGCAGTAAGAAACCAGGAAATATTGTGGTGAACTTTCCATTCCGTTAATTTTTGAGAAGATATCGGGACATTTAATCCCCTTTCGATCTCTTCCAGGTGTGGTTCACCACTACATGGCAATCGTGTTTTTGTAGTCTAGCTGCCAGAAGTCAATAATAGTGGAGAAAACCTCCAGTGTTGACGTACGTCAGTGAAAGCAGCAGAGATAATGAGGTTTTTGATTTTTTTTGGGCAACGTAAAGCCCAGCAGGTAATGTGGGCTGCTCTTTCAAATGGTTCACAATTTACCAGACCTACTTGATATTTATATTTGAATAGTTTCTCTGGTTACAAAAGAAAGTAATACTTGTTGTTCTAAGCTGAGTTGCTAACCATCTTTTTTTATGAAGCAGCTTTTTTATATCTTAAATTTCCTCCAAACCTTACAATTATTGGCGTGAAGTGGATTGAAGTAATTATTATTATTATTATTATTATTCCAAATTCTTCTCTGGTAATTTGTTCTGAAACATTTCATTTACTTTCAATAAAAGTACATCACAAAAATTTTAATTGCCAGCAGTTAGAAACCAGTTTGCCAGGTTTTGAACATCAAATGGAGCATTATTGTCTTTGGCTCATATTCAGAATGTTACGCGTGGTGCAGAACTGTCGTTCCACATCCGTATAAAGACACCATCCACATGGTGAAACATGTTGGTGGCAGGATCATGCTATGGGGATTGTTTTCATCAGTATGCATGACTGTTTTCAGTGGAAGGAAAAAACTTTGAGAAAAAACAAAAATGTATTTTCTCAAAAAAAGAAGATTTTTCCTTTATCAATGAAGATAAGTAATACACTTTGACAATAGAATCAGATAATTTATGTTTATGATAAGGAAAAATGACTTGATTATCTCATTCCAAGTGCATAACATGCAATTATCTTATTTCAAGGGCAAAAATACTGATTGATTTGGCAGATCATCCTATTTACCTCCTTACATAAAGGGTAAATACACTTACTTTCCTACATTTGCACTTGGTTTTTAGATCACTTTTTACCATGCAGAGCCAGAACAGAATGGTTTAGACTAAGGTTCATTTGTTAGAGTTGCACACTCAAAGATCAGACCTAAAACCTGCTAAAAGTCTATGAGTCTTGATGCATTGAATCAAAATTAAAACCGTAGATGTTAGCACTTGCAGGGTTGCAGGGGTTATATTAGTTTACCAAATCTTACTGAATCTAGATTTCACGGTGTGTCTTTTTTTTATCTCTCCAGGGAAAGCTGCATGATACCAGTCAGCCCGGAGTCCTGTTCCTTAGTCCAGGCTTTCCTAGCTGAATGTCCCAGCCGCCAGTTTCTGGGTCACGCCCAAACGCAGCTAAAGACGGGTTTGCAAACCCAGGAGAGACACCTCTTCCTCTTCAACGAAACACTCCTCGTTGCTAAGGCCAAGTAAGTTCCCCATTTCAAGTCTCCTGAAAGTGCAGCGAGCAGCGTCTCTTTATGTGCTGGTTTTTGTGTCTTGGTTACAGAATATGGAGACAAAAATATTCAGGAGAAAAATGAAAAATCTGAATGAAAATATCTTGGCAGAACAATCATAAAAACGTTTCCTACTAAAATTCATTCTGATACTTTCTAAGAATCCCGCTTCATTTCTCACCTTCCTTACTTTCCTGCTTCTTTTACCTTCATTTTTCATATATATTCTACCTTACAATAATTTCACAGCCAATAAAATCCACATGAAGCTTGGCTGACATCAAAGCCCTGCCCTTCCTGTCTCAGTAGCCCTGCAGTAAGGGACTCCCCACCCACAAGCTAAATCACACCAGAACATGCAAAAATAGACACTCAAGGCGCACTTAGACATTTTTGAGGTCTACATTCACACACATTCACAAATAGACTGCATAGATCTGCATTCACTGTACACACAGACACAGCAGGATCTCTGTGGTGTGTCCCAGGAGTCATGTGCCAGTGGATGGAGTTGACCCTTCCTGCACGGAGACTATGCACTATAATTGGCTTTTATTTTTAATGTGGTTTAACTCGGGGTGAATTAGAGGAATGCGCACTTGGAGGAGAGCAATGGCGAAAGGGAAAAGACATTCAGTGATATACAGGTGCTGGTCATAAAATTAGAATATCATGAAAAAGTAGATTGATTTCAGTAATTCCATTTAAAAAGTGAAACTTGTATATTATATTCATACATTACATACAAACTCATATATTTCAGATGTTTATTTTGTTTAATTTTGATGATTACAAATGACAACAAATGAAAATCTCAAATTCATCATATCAGAAAATTAGAATATTGTGAAAAGGTTCAAAATTGATGGCCCCTGGTGCCACACTCTAATCAGCTAATTAACTCAAACCGCCTGCAAAAGCCTTTAAATGGTCTTTCAGTCTAGTTCTATAGGCTACACAATCATGGGGAAGACTGCTGACTTGACAGTTGTCCAAAAGACGACCATCGACACCTTGCACAAGGAGGGCAAGACACAAAAGGTCATCGCTAAAGAGGCTGGCTGTTCACAGAGCTCAGTGTCCAAGCACATTAATAGAGAGGCGAAGGGAAGGAAAAGATGTGGTCGAAAAAAGTGTACAAGCAAGAGAGATAACCGCACCCTGGAGAGGATTGTGAAACAAAACCCATTCAAAAATGTGGGGGAGATTCACAAAGAGTGGACTGCAGCTGGAGTGAGTGCTTCAAGAACCACCACACACAGACGTATGAAAGACATGGGTTTCTGCTGTCGCATTCCTTGTGTCAAGCCACTTTTGAACCACAGACAGCGTCAGAAGCGTCTTGCCTGGGCTAAAGAGAAACAGGACTGGACTGCTGGTGAGTGGTCCAAAGTCATGTTCTCTGATGAAAGTAAATTTTGCATTTCCTTTGGAAATCAAGGTCCCAGAGTCTGGAGGAAAAGAAGAGAGGCACTTCATCCACGTTGCTTGAAGTCCAGTGTAAAGTTTCCACAGTCAGTGATGGTTTGGGGTGCCATGTCATCTGCTGGTGTTGGTCCATTGTGTTTTCTGAGGTCCAGGGTCAACGCAGCCACATACCAGGAAGTTTTAGAGCACTTCATGCTTCCTGCAGCTGACCAACTTTTTGGAGATGCAGATTTCATTTTCCAACAGGACTTGGCACCTGCACACAGTGCCAAAGCTACCAGTACCTGGTTGAAGGACCATGGTATCCCTGTTCTTAATTGGCCAGCAAACTCTCCTGACCTTAACCCCATAGAAAATCTATGGGGTATTGTGAAGAAGAAGATGTAATACACCAGACCCAACAATTCAGAAGAGCTAAAAGCCACTATTAGAGCAACCTGGGCTATCATAACACCTGAGCAGTGCCACAGACTGATCGACTCCATGCCACGCCGCATTGCTGCAGTAATACAGGCCAAAGGAGGCCCAACTAAATACTGAGTGCTGTACATGCTCATACTTTTCATGTTCATACTTTTCAGTTGGCCAACATTTCTATAAATCCTTTGTTTTTATTGGTCTTCAGTAATATTCTAATTTTCTGATATGATGAATTTGAGATTTTCATTTGTTGTCATTTGTAATCATCAAAATTAAACAAAATAAACATCTGAAATATATGAGTTTGTATGTAATGTATGAATATAATATACAAGTTTCACTTTTTAAATGGAATTACTGAAATCAATCTACTTTTTCATGATATTCTAATTTTATGACCAGCACCTGTATGTGTGTGTTTTTCATTCTCTTATATCCTTCGGATATGTTGAACTGGATCATCTACCTCTATAATTAGAGACATGGTAAATGGATGCACAGTTTACAGAGTGTGACTGTGTTTTTACATCTGAAAATAGCTGAATCTTTTTTTATCTGCTTCTCTATAGAATCTGCTCTGTGTTATAGGCCAGTGGAAATATACTGTGAGGTTCTAACCTTATTCAGCGGCCTTTATTAGAATTCGCTGCTATAGACTAAGGCAAAATTTAGAGGCATACATTCAGAATCGCATTGCCTTTGGTGATGCAGCTAAGCTCAGTGCGATTATACAGCATCTGTGAACTTCAACTCTCAAGATTTGCCACAGATTCTCGGTTAGATTCAGGCAAGGATTTTTGGGTCCTTCCAACACATTTAAACAATTTATTTTTTTAAATTAGTTCAATTAAATTTATTTATATAGTGCCAGTTCACAACACGTGCCATTGAAAGGTTCTTCATAGAGACAATTCATTTAGTTCATCCAGTCAGATTGGCTCAAAGTTTTGTTTTTTAGAAAAACCAGCTGATTGCATCGACTCATTGACTTTGCAGGATTTTCTGCTCTAGATGAGCTTGTAGAGGCAGTAGATATTTACTTGCATATAGTCGTTGGCTCTGCAGCAATGTGCAACAGAGAGCAGGCATGCAGCAACAGTGGGTCAGCAAAAGTGAGCCTAAATAGAACTCCAGCACCGGGTGTGATGACGGGACATAAACTGACGTGGTGCCATCTTTTGGCAGAACTGCTGAACTACCAGAAAACCAGATGGTGGCCATTGATACAGCTACTAAATAAGTCCTGGTTCTGCTTTAATGCCACACAGAAAACTGACAGCTAAGAGGGTAGGGCTTAAATGATTGCTAACACCATTAACTAGGTCCTCACATGTCTATCAACTTCGCAGCGACATCAGAATGCTTCCTGCGCTTTAGATATCTCTAACAGTCACTCTTTTCCCAGTGCAGCTCAAGTTTTATTCCTCCTTGACTCAAACATCTTCATCCCCCTGTTTACACTTGATCTGAGGCTGTTCTTTTATTTGCAATTAGAACGGAAGTTCCAGACTTGCTTGCCTCCATTTTTCTGGCTTGTTGACCAATAATACGCATGTCCAGTGACATAATCCCAGCACATGTTGATGTTATGGTAAATTTATATGGAAAGACTATATTTACTTATAAACTCAGCAAAAAAATAAAACAAAAAAAATAGCAAATACGATTCCAGCAGGCGGCAGTAATTTGTTGTAAAAACGTTGTATGTAACTGGAGTGACTTACCGGCGTGTAAATAAAAAATATAAAAGTCAGATAACGCGACTATATACCTTTAAGGTGTTGAATTTTATTCAGTTAACAGTTGTTTCTTACTTTTTCAGATCTCCCACTCATTTCAAAGTGAAGAGCCAGGTCAGAGTGTGTGAGATGTGGACGGCCAACTGCATGGATGAGGTGTGTGAAGGAAGCACAAACCCAGAAAGGAGCTTCGTTATGGGATGGCCCACCTGTAACTTTGTGGGCACTTTCAGGTATATATTCAGGCTTTCATGCTATAAACAAAATTATTCCCACTTTACAATAAAAAATCGTCTCAGAAATCGGTATGTTATCCTGATCAAATAAAAGCGATCCAATGTAATATATCTTCATTCAAATAATAACCCTTATGGTAAACAGAAATGCTCCTGTGAGTCAACCCGCCGAGTACACAGTGTTCTTAGATACATGGAGGGGAGCTACAAATCAAACGTGTAGCTATAAAATCCCTTAAACCCTCAAGCGTTGTGGTTGTTCCCGTTTTTTTTTTTTAAGGAACTCAACTGAACCTCATTGAGCCAAAGAAGTCAACCACATGTGCACACAGCAGGCCCCGACATGCATCACAACAAATACAGTCTCACATGCCATGCTCTGTTTATGCACCTGCTTCGGTGCCACACACATTCATATCACATTTTCTGTTATCAGAAATCCTGTCGTAGCTCAAGGCATCGACTGTGGTTGTGGAGTTGGAGACGGAGCTAAAGGTTTAATTATTTTTCATTTCATTTTTTTTTACTTTTTTTTTACTTCAGCTCTGAAGAAATCAAAGACAACTGGTTGGCACTCATCAATGGGTAAGTTAATGACTATAACTAATGACGATCACAATTTATTTTGTCATTATAGTCATTTTAAATACAAATAACTAATACCTTCCTTTTTATTCTCTATTTCCAGTCAGATAAATGAGGGAAAAGAAAAAGACGACCCCAAAACTATTCCTCTGAAGATATTTGCCAAAGACATTGGAAATTGTGCATATGTATGACTCTTTATAATACTTTCCCTTTTTTCATCTTTGTATCACAAAGATGTTTCCACTGCATTCCTACATTTATTTTAAACAACACTCAAGTACATATTTCCATGATATTTCGCTAGGCCAAGACGCTCGCTGTCAATAACGGGGACAGCACCGACGACGTCATCCGAATGGCTCTGCAGCAGTTCGGCATAGCAGTAAGTAGCTGAATAACAGATTTAATGGAAGCTTTAAAAAAACCAACCTAATTAGGCTTTAACACTTACATGTTTTTATGGTTCATTTCTTATCTTTCATTTTGCACAATTATGAATGTACTTAGACTACTTTCACCAGATTTTAAAACATTTTCTTAAAAAACTGTTATTAAAGCCTTCAAAATTTAGATTTTTATTTTATTTTAATTAGTGGTGATTTATGGTTTCTTTGAAGTTTCTTACGATTGTGAAGCATAATTTTCAAACAGATACCTAATATTAAACCTTTGACTGTTGCTTTCTATCAGGGCTGAAAAACGCCTGTTTCCACGCAACAGCTGATTTCTTTAATCATTTTTTTTTTTACATTAGTGAATTATTTCCTATTTTCCCGTTTAGGGTTGTGTAAAAGATCACCGATTGTGGGTCAGTTCCTGTAAGGATGATCCTCCATACCCTCTCATTGGTAAGTTAGTCATATTCAGCTTTATCATTTACTGTATGTAGCATTCAGGAGGATGTTTGAAGTATAAAAAATCTTGAAACCAATAAAAAAAAAACGTAGAATTATTATTATTTTTTTTTTTTTTTATAAAACTTATATCAAAGTTCATCAAGTGTTGAAAAAAATCGGTCAGGACTAAAGCCAAGAAAAGCCCGGAGAGGGCTTCACTTCTGTGTGAGAAACAGAAAGTCAACATCTGGGAGCGTTTCAGCGCAGATGATTTTTACTCACAGTGGTATTTCCCTGACATTCCTTTGCCATAATCTTTTTGTTCTGTCGTTCACACAGAATTCCTTGCATCCTTTTCTGTTTTTAAGATTTTTCTTGTTGCTCTGTTCCAGAACTGTCCTATTTTTTTTTTTAAATCACATTACTTTGCTTCTCCTCCTCAAACTGCACATACCAGAGCTTCCACCTCTAACCTCTGCTCTCTAACCTTTTGATTCAGGGCACGAGTTTCCCTTTAGCATCAAAATGAGCCACATACGGGATGGAGGGAGCAGTCCTGGCGGACATGGAGGGGGACTTTGGAGGGAGCAGCTCAGTCCGTCGGACTGCCCTGAGGTTCTGTTGCTGGACCAGTGCCTTCCCCCAGACACCCAGTGCCAGTTTATTCTCAAGCCCAACAAAGTGGTACTCGACCCTCCACAGATTATAGGTAAGTCCACATGACTTTTCTGGCATTCAAAATGTCAGTTCATTCTGGTCATTGTTTTTAGCAATTTTTCAAAAAATGAAGCTGCAAAATCCAATGACTCTAGTTGTTAAAATGGAAACTTTTCAGTAAAGATAGAAGAAGACAACCCTCACAACCAGCTGCTGATTTCTGGATATTAAGCCAATTTCCAAGGGTGTCATCAGAAGGTTGAGATGTGGAGCTGATTGCGACTAGGAGCAACGTCACTGACCTGATTCAAAATGTTCAGTCTGTTCGCGGAGAACACAGCCGAATACAGACAGGAGGTTAGACCGCAGTACCGGCGGGCGTCGCCCCCAGAGTTCCTAAAGAGCGTGTGGAGCAGGCGCCAGCCGACGCCGAGCAGCAACCGAGTCCAAAGGGGAAATCCAAAGCCGGAGTCAGAAGACAGGTCCAGGTTCAGAAGCCGGTAGAATCCAGGATCAGATCAGACAAACAGAGCAGAAAGGGGCAATGCAAAACTCGAGATCCTCAGGGCAGAAACTGGTCATAATCAGGAAAACAGAACAGACTAAAGAATGCTAGAATTCATCTCACCAAAACACTTGATTAACCTTGCACTGATTGGAGGCAAACACACAACATAAATAGCAGAGGAACCAGGTGGAAATGATCACCGTTAATCAGCTGCAGAACCAATTAGATAGGGGAGCAAGGAGCAAAGGAAAAAAACCAAACCATCAGCACCAAGATCATGACACAGATAATACAAACCTCTCTGTCAGTTCCGCTTTAAATACATTATGAGTTCCTTTTAGTCATGTATTGTTGACGACTCCTATATGTTCAGTAGAGAGCTCCTACTAGAGATGGGCAGATCAAACTTAGGATTGATACTATCGATACCAAAGCTGGTATTGATATTTATCATATTCGGTTAAAAAGATCGATACTTTTTATGCACTCCCACACGCACTAACTGCAACAGATTCACCAGTCTCAACGTCTGTGTCAAAGCATATTGCTGCTCCCCCCTTCCCTCTCTGCTGGAGCAGAAAATACCATGAATGAAAATAGATGCAAGTTGTACAGTTTCGACAAAGCTGGTAAATGCTCTGTAAACACAACAAGTTTATATAAACACATGAAAAACCATAAGCAAGAAAAGTTCGGGCTACAATAACCTGAGAGGAGACAAAACTTCGCTCATTGGTCCAACAGACCCTCGATTCTCAGACAGACTTCACTGACAGCTGTCGTTTCAGACCTACAGAGAGCATATCCAGCTAGATAAGATAGGCCGCCTTCATATTAACTTTCAAAGTAGATATGAAATGTCATATATTACTGTAGCCTACTCAGAAAGGGTGATTAAGACCTTGAAAGAACCAAGTACATTTATCGCATTAAACATGTTCCTTTATTTAACCCGCAATGTGGAAATTTATAGAATTAAAGCAACAGGCAAGTGCACAAAATAAAAACAAAATTGCATAATGATTGAAAGAGGTGGATTAGAAAAAAAAAACACTATGAACAGTACCATTATTATTCAATTGTTATAATGAATAAAACCACTGAAAGGTCAACAGTTCAATGATACATCAAGCTTAAATGTTAAAAAAGTTTTGGTATTGTATTGATATCGGCGAAACTGACCCTGTATTTACTTGATATCATATCGATTAAAAACTCCCGGTATCACCCACCTCTACCTCCTACATCCTGCTTAATATAGTGCAAAAAGGAAGAGATTTCCTGCAGTTTGGTTAAAGGCAGGAAAAGGAGGAAAACCCCTAAAAATGCCATTGATGCAAAAACTTTCATAGCTCATTAGGAAGGCCATCTACTCTACCTATAAACTTTTACCTAGGCAAAGGAATCATGAGGTCTGGGCAGTGGATTTTCTTTTAAATGTAAAGGAACTCGTTCATGTCCATCGGTCCAATTCTTTCTGAGGAAATGCACGTACAGAAATGCAGAACAGAAAGTACCTTTAAGAATTTGTCCTGCTTGGATAAACCGCTTCAGTCTGATCATTCAGTTCTAACACAGAGTTAAAGTCATGTTGGTAGGCCAGAGGAGGAAGCAACAGGTGGACAAGAAGAACAGAAGAAAAGTAGGAAAAGAGATTTCACTGACTTAGAAAAGACGCTGTTGCAAAATAAGAAACGTAAGGACAAACAAAGACCAAGGAACCCCAGAAGGCGTTGACGAGTGTGAGAATAGGAAGATGGAAAGTGAAAAGAGATGACACAGCTACTGAGGAAGAGCGAAGGCCGGCAGAGGTGAAGGAAAAGAAAACAACTGATCTCTGATGATATGGAGAGGAATTTGCCGAGCGGGAGTAAGATGGGATTTTGAATGGGAGAACAACAAAGAAAACGGGAGGCGGGGGTGGTGGAACGGCTATGATGGCGGACAGAAACGAGGACAAACTGCGGATACAAAAAGTGTACTGGAAAAAAACAGGGTGGATGACATGGGATTAAAGGAAAACAAGTTGTGGAGGAAAAATCTTTTTCCAGTCGAGTAGGCTCCAGTTTACCCACCGCAAGTGGGATTCTTTAGCTTCAACCAAAACAGTCCGTTACGTAATTTCTCCATACCAGCCTTGTAGCTGTAGAGGGATAACTGCCCAACCAATGTTTGTATCTACCCAGCAGAAGCCTTTTTTAGGCCTTTATCTATAGATAAATTAAAAATAAGATTTATAATAAAAAAAAAGAATCACTTGTTTTACTCACTGTCTCAAGAGCTTTTTCCCTTTTTCACCTTTCAGCCACATATTTTAATGAATTTTGTGCAAATAAGAGGATTTTTAGGACGATAAAAAATTTAAAAAACAATCAACAGAAATAGATTTTAAAACAGTTACTAAACCAAACACTGGAAAGGACTTGAATAAAGGTTTTATTCAAAAAAGCAAAATTTTTTTTATTCCGTCCATTCTGATAGCAATAGATAACTGAAAGAAGTCCTTGTTTCTTGAATATTTTCAGACAAACCAAATAAAATCCTTACATTCAACACAAGATGTGTTGTAAAAGTATTTGAGCATCTTAAAAAGTTCACTTAATCCGGATTCTTCAGCCTCCTACGGGGGCATCATCTGCCTGATGGGACTTTCCATACCAAGAAAAAATCCTCATCATTTTCAGACGATTATTAAGCCATAAAAACCCTAAGTCCTTCATCTTTTGGAGCTGAACGCTCATCGGATATGAATCATTAGGTTTGGTTTATCTTCAAGTTTATTTATGGGGGGATTATTTGGACACAACTTCTTTTGCTTGCGCAACGATACAGAGAAGTGTGGCGGCCACGTCACTCCGTCTCTAAACAAAAAATGTTTCCAATATACCATCTCTGTCACCCAAACATGCTTTATAATTTCACTTTAAAATGTTCCAGATGATTTGCTCCAGTTGTGGTTTGGATTTAAGAAGCTTCTTGGCTGTAGGGTTGGAGACACTAAAGCTCAGGGTAGAACAAAAAACCACTAAATGGAGCCTGCTGTGCTTTTCAATGGAATCAAATGAAATATAATGGAAACTGTCAACATTACTTTGTTTATGTGTTAAGTTTTGATGACCTCAGATATATTTCTGCCATTCTACTGTTGATGCAGATTAGTTTTTGTTTTGTTTTTTTTTTGTTATGTTTTTTGCCCAGACCCCTAATACAAAACCCTAAACTTTTGTCATTAAGACAGAAACGGGCCCATCACAGTTTGAGCCGATATCCAATTTCATATATTTCTAAAACTGTAACACTTGGACCCAAAGATTTTAACCAATCCAGAATGATGTTGAAGACTGTAGTTCTGCTTTGTTTGTTTTACGCTGTTAACTGTTCTGTGGTGCCTCCAGATTCGCCCCCGCAATACGGCTACTGTCCACCATTAAAAGAGAGCTATTTGTCATGCTATGCTACGTTCAGACCGCAAGCAGCAGAGGCCGCAAAAAAAAGCTGGTTTGCATGCAAAGTCAAGGGTTGACGTGCATCATGGCGCAGCGAAAGGTCCAGCAGCGCGTTTTGAGCAGCAGGAGCAGCGCGTCTGTGCAGCTGAAGCACCACGTCATGAGCTTCTGGGCATCTGATGCGTGCAACACGCTTCAGAAGCAGCACCTGCTGGAGTTGGGAAAATTTTACTTTTAATGCTCGACGTGGCACATCAACCAATCAGAGAAGCTGATCTAGGAGCTGGCAGGGAGACAGACACAGTGCTGCTGATGCAGAGCGCTATGATAACTCCTCTGAAATGGTTTAGTAACACCTACATTAACTTTAAATGTCGAAACATGCCGTCAAAATATGTTAGTTTTCATTATTCTGCCTGCAGTTTGAAATACGTAAGTGAAAAACGCTAACATCTACTTGCAGCCGCTGAGCACAGATACAAACAGAAGGAATTCCAGATACAGCAATAGAAGGGGATTTCCAGTGACGGAGCACCACAGGTGTACTGCGGACTGTTCGGCTCCAACAGCTAAATAATATTTAAAAGCAGGATGGTAATCTGGATGAACTGACTGCACGGATTAAGTTTTCAGGTGGACTTTCTCACTTAAAAACATTAAAAATACTGTTTACCCACTGATCACAGCAAATATAGACCATTGGAGCAGCAAAGATGCTTCAGCCATGTTAGAACTAGACTTGTACAAGCATCAAAAATGAAGCAGCAGGCGCATTTTGCTGCTCCTGCTGCTTGCAATGTGAATATAGCATAAGACACTCCAAAGGGTTAAAGAACAGCAGCAAATTTATTTCATGCTTTTTCAGGCATTTTTTTGTGATTTTTATGTGGCCAGTTGACAGATAAACTGAAATTGTACTTCCTTTTTTTTATACTGTAACATATTCATCATCATACAGATCACTGAATTTAACTAAAATGTCTCCCTAGAAATTAAGATCTTTTTCTCTGCAGCTCTAGAAAAAACTAAAACAATTACATTTTCACCTTTATTGAATAGAGGGGTGGAGAACTAACAGTTTGAACACAAAAGACATGTTAAAAGCAAAAAAATGCACTATATCAGAGTTATTTTTCTATAGGCAATAGCAGCTCACTCACCTAGTATTTGTGGTTTAAAATAATCCTATTCACTGTAAGAGATTAGCAAAAATATACAAACATTTAAAATGCATCTAGACGAGTCATCTTGTTATAGTACCAGCAGACTGCTAAGTTCTTGCATTCTTGCACCAAATCTTTCAAATCCTGCTGGTCCTGTGATTTCATCTTTAAAAATTACATAATATTACATTATTTCTTGGGATTTTTAAACAGAAAATGTACTTGATGTATATAAAAGCGTTGCATGTGTAATGTTTTAAATTTTTGTATTTGAAGCCAATTTAATACTAAGCTTTAAAATATACCTCCAATATACAGCAACAGATTTAGCAGGATGAACCACATTTAGCCATTTAAATCAATGAGATGTTTGTGAACCTCTTTGTGTTTCTCACTTTTTTAATCTTATGCTAGTACTTTTGGTCAGGGGAACACTTGCTGTTAACAAGATGTAGTAATGGGAGCAGAGGTAGATCATCAGGTTCAGTAATTAACCTGAACTGTTTTGTGCTCTTTTTGTTTGCTGTTTGCCCAAAGGTGTCCAAACCACACCTTGACGATGACATCTTTCCCTGCGAGATCTTTTTACTTGCTTTTACTCTTTATTTCTATTTTATTTATTATCTAGAAGAAATTAAACCAAGTTCTACCTTAACAGATTAAAGCGAGCCTGCTAATCTAAAAGGTGTTTGTGAAGCACCTCCATATTTCCTGCAGAATTTTCCTTTAACTTTCTCCTTCAGGCTGTTTCAGTTTCTCTTTTATCTTACTGTGTTTTAGGGTTTTTTAAAATAATGCTTTATTACCTGAGCTAATGTCCACCATAGGGACAAGCACTGCCTCCTCTTCCTTCACTTTATTAAACCTTGATTCACTAAGCAATAATATTTTAGCACATTTTGCATCATGGTTCAATTCAATTCAATTCAGTTTATTTATATAGCGCCAAATTCACAACACATGTCATCTCAAGGCACTTTACAGTTCAACCAGATCATACAGTCAAATTGATACAAAGTTTTCTATCTAAGGAAAACCAGTTGATTGCATTGACTCATTGACTCAAATACAATCCCCCACACTAAGCATGCTTGTAGCGACAGTGGAGAGGAAAAACTCCCTTTTAACAGGAAGAAACCTCCAGCAGAACCAGGCTCAGTGTGAGCGGCCATCTGCCGAGGCCGACTGGGGTTCAAATGGTTGTGTTTTTGTTTTGGGCGACAGCAGCTCCTCCTGAGAAGCACCAGAGCATCCATTACCGGTGACTGTGTTACTGCTAAACGTGGTTCCACAGTGTATTTAGGCATGACGCCATGACAGATTGTAAAATCATGAACTCTGTGAGCGGTATGCGGTGTATTTGGTGTGAAGCCTGTTTTGGCCCTGGGATCCTCCGCCCACTTAAAGAATCTCTTGTTTATTTGAGTCCCACCCTTAAATCCAAATCACAGCTGCCTAGTAAAATATATGGCTTTATTTCAACATTGTAGGAAAGCCAGACTGGAGCAATTGTGTACGGATACAATAGCTTGTTAAAAGATTTATTACAAAGCCATTTAGCAAGACATGATGTAACACCAACTGAAGAAATAATTTCAGATATTAATGTATTTATGTAAATGTTTTTTTAAAGTTTGCATAAATATAAATCAGAAAACTGTATTTCTATTTAACATCCTTTAATCTGTTACCTCTTAATAAAATCGGTAACGCTTTCTTTTACAGTACATCAATGACTATGTAATAACCCAGTGATGGGACTAACGGCGTTGAAAGTAACGGCGTTACTAACGCCATTACCTTGTTTTAGTAACGAGTAATCTAACTAATTACTTTGACTGTAACTATAACGCAGTTACCATTGCAGACACCCCGTTACTGCGCGTTACTCAGGTCGCACAGTGAACCTTTTTTCATGATAGGACTCGTGCGCAGCTGCGTGAAGCTGACACCCCACTCACGTCAAAAAACTCTGCAAATAGACTGAATGGTTAGTGCAACGTTAGTGCAGATTTGTGCAGAAAAAAATATTGTTTGTGCTACTTTTGTTTAAGAGATATTAAAGATTATTTTTTAGGTCATCCAGAGGTGCGCGCCTTGTCATGAGAGAGGGGAGGATGAGAATGGCTGATGTTACGTAGAGCTGCGTTTCCCCATCACATAACGGTTTCCTCTGCATCTCCACACAGCGCAGGCGGCAAGAGTCACCGCGCAAGCGACAGGAAACGCGCATGCTCGCTAAAGGCGCGCAACAGTCGCCCTGTTCTCGCGCCACAGGAGAACTATGGAGAGCGTGAACGATCAAATGAACCTGACAACAGCCAGAAATTATAGCCTATATGGAGAAAGGGAGAAATCTGGATGGATGGATGGATGGATGGATGGATGGATGGATGGATGGATGGATGGATGGATGGATGGATGGATGGATGGATGGATGGATGGATGGATGGATGGATGGATGGATGGATGGATGGATACTCTGCCTTCTCAACCTACTGTATTTTTTATTTTAAACATTATTTGATGGCCTTTGTGGCAGGGATGGAGATCCATATTTTATGTCACACACAGAGTATAGATCTAGATAGATAGATAGATAGATAGATAGATAGATAGATAGATAGATAGATAGATAGATAGATAGATAGATCTGAATGTCCTGTTATAAAACTTCACATGGCGTTCCCCCCTGATGTCATTTACGTTGAGTTGCAATAAATGCTAAACTCTCTGCAGGTTCTTGTCTTTGTCGTCCACTCTATTCAGCTGGCTTTGGAAACACACAGTGAGAAGGTGGGGGCTGGGTAGTGAGGTTTACGGGGGCGAGAAACGCAAAAGTAACGCAATAGTTACTTTTACTAGTAACTAGCTACTTTTATTGTGGAGTAACTCAGTTAGTAACTCAGTTACTTTTTGGAAGAAGTAACTAGTAACTATAACTAATTACTTTTTCAAAGTAACGTGCCCAACACTGGTGATAACATGGCAAGTTACAATATATTACTATGTAACGAGAAACACTTTATGGAGAATTTTGGTAAGTGTTCTGCCTCAATGAGGTAACTCAGTAATTTCACCAACAGCAATAAATTAATGAGTTATTATCTAGTAAAATTCTGTTTATTACTTGGCATATAACAGAAAACAGAACCTAGAAGACAGCAAGCCAATCTTTTTAACTTAACTCTTATTTATATGTAACTTGAGTTCAGTTATATAATGCTTTATTAAGCTAACCACAAGTTACAATTTACTTTGTAAGCTGTTGTTAGGTGGTGGCCAATATTAGAAACTGTTACATGGTAGGCTAGTGATCATTTCTGCACCAAAAAAAATCTAAATTTTTACATAGTAACATACAGTTGTACTAATTACATGCAGGTAATTACCTGCATATATAGCTTAATTTTGGGGTTATTAGCAAATGTAAGTTTTTCTTGTTACCAAGTAATATAGTGTGACATGGTGTCTTATTACCATGTTATTACATGGTTATTGAAGTTCTGTAATGGAAAGTGTTACCATAAAATCCATTGCTTCTAAATATCTTCCTGAAATTGCCTAATAGTGTGTAATTTAATCTCAGTATAAATCCAGATGTTCTGTAAAGGACCTAAAACAGTGAAAAAGAGAATAATAAAGACCTAGAAATACAGCAGATAGATTATGAAAAAGGTTTTGGATAAATTTATAATAAAAATATATTTCAAAACATTAATCTAAAGCAGGGGTTCCCAAAGTGTGGGGTAGGAGAAGATTTTAACCATCATTGTGCCCTAATCCCTGTGGTATGTGATTAGTTATTTATCTACTTATTTATATAAAACATAATTCAGATATTAAATGTACTGTTAAACTGTAAAGTGAATCATGAAAAAAATCAATTAAAAAGATGAACTAATAATTTTTTTTTTTTTTTTACGCATTTATTTAAAAATGAAAGTTATTACTTCACTTTATATGTGTTAAAGAATTTAGCATGAAGTAATTCTATGTATTTTGCAGTCTATTGCATTGTGGTTTCTGGAGTCACAGGCTGAAATCTTTGGGAATCCATGATTTAAAGCTTTGAGCATTTCACATAGCGCACTTCAATCCATCATTTAAAACTGATTGAATGACAATAAGCAAATTCTGATCTCATCTCAGACATCCATGGTCATTTTCCTCTCTGCAGAACCCGGCCAGCAGAAGACCTTTAAGAGAAAGCGATCCCTGATCAACTGGCCTTTCTGGAAGGGTTCCAGCACCCAGCTGGACGGCGTGCCTCTCTCCCCATCGCTGCTGTCTCCCACTCAAGGACGGCTGTTTGGACAACCTCTGAACTCTGTGTGCCCTTCAGGTCACAGCCTGCCCAAGCCTGTCATGGTGAGTGTAGACCTCAGACCAGCTGAACAGAGTCAGGACTTCAACTTAAAGCTTTTTTTGGGATAGTTGAGAGAAAACCAATCATATATTTAGTTTTTTGTTTTCTTTTGCATTCCAGGAAATGTTAGTGTTTCTCTATCAGGAGGGGCCATACACAAAGGGCATCTTCAGGCGGTCGGCTGGAGCTAAAGCCTGCAGGGAGCTTCGAGACAGACTGGACAGCGGGACAGAGGAGCCGGAGATCACACACCAGTCGGTGTTTGTCATTGCCGCTGTCCTTAAGGTAGCTCCGTCGCCCAGCTTTTTCCTGTCTCGCCCGTTTGAAACCAGATAACAGAGAGCAGGTGTGACTGAAGTGTGTCCTGAGCCCCCCTGGAGTCCAGACTGGGTAATCTGTCTGCAGGCAGGGAGCCAGTCACACACACAAGGTGCAGCCTTGTTCAGGCCTAACAGGCACTACAGTGTCAGGCATCCAGGCAGAAGCTCAGGTGTTTACCCAAGACTTTTTTTTTTCCTTCCAAAATGTTCACAACTTGTAAAAAGTCTCTTTCTTTTATCCGTCCACAAACTTTCATGTATTTAAGGAGAATAACAATAATATGCCAACACACTTTAGCCAACAGTTTTATGAGCAGATGTACAATGATACATGCTGATCTGTTTGACAAAGGGAAAGTGAAAAATCACATGACTGATCAGCAGTTTCCTCTTCCAATGGCGTCCTGAACATAAGAATTAGACTCACGCCCCTTTCTATCTCTCCCTACAAACACCATTTAGTCATTTAGACACTGTTTTTAATCTAAATCCGGTCGGTCCGTCAAAGTCTCGATTTAGTCCAATTTGGGCTGTGTTTGGTTGGTCTGATTTTTCCCTCTTTAGTCCAGTAATTGACGGGGAAAAGACCGTTTTCCACGTCTTTTTAGCGATCTAAAAAATTATGACCTTTTCACTTTTCACCCAATTGTAAATGTCTTTTGGACGTAAATCATGTCTTTTGAACCAATTTTTGTTCGGTCGGCTACATCTCTCCATGGAATCAACCGATGCTAATTCTAGCTAACATGATAAAGTACTGTAAGTACAATTCCAACATATTCCAAACATCAGCCCATCACTGATCTGTGGTCCGTTCTACTGTAGCTTGCCAACTCTAACTCCTGTTTACTAACTCAAAGCATATCGTCAGCGAATTATGACATCACACTCAAATTGACTCATTAATTCTTCAATAGATGGAAACACGTCTAAATCTCCTTTTGTTTTTTGTTTTGTTGTTTTTTTTACATTGTCAGTACGGCAATGTGGCAATAAGAATAATTGTATTGATGCCAAAAAGAGCCCAACAGATTTTACTTTCACAAGTGGAACAGTACGGCTATTGCCATAGTGTTCCGCTTGATTTATGCATATAAATAGCTTTATTATGATTATGCAGGGAGTTTTACAGATTATATGGATACTAAAATGTAAGTAGAACAGGAAAGGAAAAACAAAAAAAGGAGAAAAGATGAAAGAAAGAGGAGATAAAAGGGAGATAATGATAAAACATCTTCAGTCTGCTTCATCACCTGCAAAGAGATGTAAACAAGAACATCACAACCAACGATATAGAATAAGAAATACAATAAATTAACACCGTGATACTGTTGCTGAAGTATAAGTGGTATTATTTAATCTGACATCTATACTGTGGTAGCTGAAGATAAGATTATGGGCTTTCTGTATGGAAGTACCTGGAGCCAAGCACCTGTAGTTGTTTGTGAAAGTGCACTTGTGCATGTAAAGTTTATCCAAAGGAAAAATGCTCAATAGTGGTTTCTGAACGTTTTAAATGTTGGCCCAAATTGTGCATCAAATTTGTATGGAAAAACAGCTACTGTACTTATTGGGAAGGTTAAACAGATTTGCATATTTAGAATAGGGCTGAAACAATTAATCAGATTTATCGTGATTAATTGATCAGTGAGATAATTATAAACTAATTTATCAATTGAATAGTTATTAACTAGAGTGTAGAGACTCTAAAAAATGCCTTTAGCTGACAGAGCAAATCAACTTAGAGCAGTAATTATACCAAGATTGTAAAAAAAAAAATATATAAATGTTTTGCATTTAATATTAAAATAAAATATGTGTGTCAATCTGCTCTCTCCAGAACTCCTCAAAGGGAAAAGTTTGAGTTTCATCTTTGGCTATCCGATTATTAATCAATTTTTCAAAACATAATTGATCAGCTCTATTGGTTTTTGCTTCCTGCTTCCTGTTTGGACCTGTTAACTTCCTGTTTGGATTAACTGAGTGTGCAGCTGTTCAGAGGATCTCCATCTGAAGTTAAGTTATTTTCTCTGTGATATCTCTGTATCTAAGTAACTCTAACTGACTACTTTAAAACATAGCACCTTCTGCTGCACTTTTCTACTGAGCACTTGTCAGTTTCACACGGTTTTATTTCTGATAGCAAGAAGTAGCTAGCCTAGGCTAGCGCTAGCTTAGCATTGCTATGGCTTCTCTCTCTCCCTCCCTTGACTCTTTTCCAACTCTTCCTTCTTCCTCTCCTCTCTCCTGCTCTCTGTGTCAGATGTTCAGTTATTCCTCTGCCTCCTTTAGTGATAATGGGATGTGTAATAAGTGTAGTATTTTTGTAGCTTTGGAGGCGAGGGTGTCAGAGTTAGAATCCAGGCTTCAGGCTGTTGAACATCCAGGAGTTAAAGTAGGCCCCCCACGTAGCTGTCCTCCAAAAGTGCCTGAGCAGCCAGGCGATTGGGTAACTGTACGCAGAAAGCGTAGTCGTGGATCTCTGCCCACTGGTCACCACCAACCCGTTCACGTTTCTAACCGGTTTTCCCCACTCAGTGACACACCCACTGAGAAGCCCACTCTGGTGATTGGCAGCTCCATAGTCAGAAACGTGGCATTAGAGACACCAGGGACCATAGTCAAATGTTTGCCGGGGGCCAGAACGGGCGACATCAAATCCTACCTGAAACTACTGGCTAAGGATAAGGTTAAATACAGTAAGATTGTTATTCACGCTGGTGGTAATGACACCCGGTTACGCCGATCGGAGGTCACTAAAATTAGTGTTGCTTCGGTGTGTAAGTTTGCCAAAAAAATGTCGGACTCCGTAATTTTCTCTGGTCCCCTCCCTGATCTGACCAGTGATGACATGTTTAGCCGCATGTCGTCATTCAACCGCTGGTTGTCTAGGTGGTGCCCTGAAAACAACGTGGGCTACATTAATAATTGGCAATCCTTTTGGGGAAAGCCTGGTCTGATTCGGAGAGACGGCATCCATCCCACTTTGGATGGTGCAGCTCTTCTTTCTAGGAATCTGGCCACATTTATTAGTCCTCCAAAACCCTGACCACCCAGGGTGCAGACCAGGAAGCAGAGTTGTAGTTTAACACACATCTCTGCAGCTTCTCTACTGTTACCCACTCTTTACTCCATCCAGACAGTGTCTTGCCCACGACCAAAATCTAATAAATTAGCAAAGATTCCCAAAGGAGTAAATCATGATAATCTAATTAAAATCAAAATAACTCAAATTGGGGAAAAAGTTAAAACAATTAAATGCGGTCTGTTTAACATAAGATCGCTTTCCTCTAAAAGTCTACTAGTTAATGACTTGATTTGTGATAATCACATTGACTTGTTTTGCCTTACAGAAACCTGGCTGCAGCAAGAGGATTATGTGAGCATAAATGAGGCAACTCCTTCAAGCTATTTAAATTTTCACATCCCCAGAAGTTCTGGGCGAGGAGGAGGAGTAGCAACAATCTTCCAGTCTGACTTACTGATTACTCCCAAAACAGTTAATACCTACAACTCTTTTGAACATTTAACCCTTAATTTCCCTGATCCAAATTTCAAGGCAAGAAAACCTCTTCTTTTTGTAACTTTGTATCGTCCACCAGGTCCTTACTCTGAATTTTTAGATGAGTTTTCAGAGTTCCTTTCTGATTTGGTATTAAATACTGACAGGGTCATCATAGTGGGAGATTTTAACATCCATGCTGACATTGAAGGCGATAGCTTAAGAGCAGCCTTTAATGCTATCTTAGACACTATTGGCTTTGTTCAAAATGTGAATAGTCCCACGCATTCTCATCTTCATACTTTGGATCTTGTGCTGACATACGGCATAGAATGTGAAGAAATAACAGTATTTCCTCACAACCCTGTCCTCTCTGACCACTTTCTAATAACCTTCAGGATTACTTTAACAGAGTTCTCCTCCCCCAAAAGAAGGTTCAATTTTAGTAGATCTTTATCAGATAGTGCAGTTATAAATTTTAAAGAATCTGCTTCACTTTCTCTCTCCTCTGTGTCACTGAGCAGTGCTGCAGAGTGCAAAAGTTTAGCTTATTCCCCTTCACAGGTTGATGATTTTGTTGATGGGGTTGCTAGTTCTCTGCGTATTGCCTTAGACAACGCAGCTCCTTTGAAAATGAAAACCGTTAAAAATAGAAAGCTTGCTCCTTGGTTTAATGCAGAGCTGCGTACTTTGAAGCAAAATGCTAGGAAACTGGAGAGAAAATATCGCTCCACAGGCCTGCGAGAGTCCTTCCTAGTCTGGAAAAATGGTTTACTGCTGTATAAGAGGACCCTTTGTAAAGCAAGAGCAGCATACTTCTCCTCATTAATAGAGGAGAATAAGAATAATCCTAGATTTCTTTTTAATACAGTTGCCAAACTCACCCAGAGCCATAGCTCTGTTGAACCGTCCATTCCACCTGCTCTTAGCAGCAATGACTTTATGGGATTCTTTATAAATAAGATTGATCTTATTAAAAATAAGATCATAAGCACTCCTCTATCCGCGATTGTACCTGAGGTAGTCATGGAATCTGAACTGGGTTTAGACTGCTTTGATCCAGTTGAACTCTCTGAATTAGCAAAATTATTGTCTTCATCTAAGCCTTCAACTTGTATGTTAGATCCAGTTCCAACCAGGTTATTTAAGGAGGTATTCCCTTTGATCTCCTCCTCCATTTTAGATGTGATTAATCTATCTCTGTTACAGGGATATGTACCTAAAGCTTTTAAGGTTGCTGTAATTAAACCTCTGCTTAAGAAACCGTCTCTTGACCCAGATGACTTGGTCAATTATAGACCTATATCCAATCTTCCTTTCTTATCCAAAATTCTTGAGAAAGTAGTTGCCAAACAAGTTTGCGATCACTTCCACCATAATGAACTTTTTGAAGAGTTTCAGTCTGGCTTTAGAGCTCATCATAGCACTGAAACAGCTCTGGTGAAAGTCACTAATGATATTCTCATGGCCTCAGATAATGGACTTGTATCTGTGCTCGTCCTGTTGGATCTTAGTGCTGCATTTGATACAGTTGACCATAATATTCTTTTAGAAAGACTTGAATATTTTGTTGGAATTAAAGGAACAGCACTAGACTGGTTTAAATCTTATCTATCTGATCGAATTCAGTTTGTTCATGTTAATGATAGATCTTCAACACGCAGGGATCAGTGCTAGGACCAATTCTCTTTACTTTATACATGCTCCCAATTGGTAGAATTATTAGACAGCATGGGATTAATTTCCACTGTTATGCTGATGATACCCAGCTATATCTGTCTATAAATCCAGATGAAGCTAACCCATTACATAGATTACAGGCATGTCTTGAAGACATAAAAACCTGGATGACTCTTAACTTTCTGCTTCTGAATGCAGACAAAACAGAAGTTATAGTCTTTGGACCAGAGTCTCTGAAAAAGAAACTGATTAGCCAGTCACTTCATTTGGATGGGATTAAACTGATTTCAGATAATAAAGTAAAAAATCTTGGTGTTGTTTTTGATCAGGACCTGTCATTTAGGTCCCATATCAAGGAGGTTTCTAGAATTTCCTTCTTTCATCTGAGGAACATTGCAAAAATTAGAAATATCCTGTCCAGGGGTGATGCTGAGAAACTAGTCCATGCATTTGTTACTTCAAGGCTGGACTATTGTAATTCTTTACTATCAGGAAGTCCACAAACTGTAGTTAAAAGCCTTCAGCTGATCCAAAATGCTGCAGCCAGAGTTCTAATGAAAATTAAAAAGAGAGATCATATCTCGCCTATCCTGGCTTCTCTTCATTGGCTTCCTGTTAAATCAAGAATAGAATTTAAAATCCTCCTTCTCACATATAAAGGCTTAAATGGCCAAGCTCCATCTTATATCAGAGATCTGATTGTTCCTTATGTTCCTAACAGAGCACTTCGCTCTCAATCTGCAGGTTTACTAGTGGTTCCTAGAATTTCTAAAAGTAGAATGGGAAGCAGATCTTTTAGTTATCAGGCTCCTCTCCTGTGGAACCAACTACCAGTTTTAGTCCGTGAGGCAGACACCCTGTCTACTTTTAAGGCTAGGCTTAAAACTTTCCTTTTTGATAAAGCTTATAGTTAGAGTGGCTCAGGTTATCCTGAGCTATCTCTATAGTTATGCTGCTATAGGCTTAGACTTTTGGAGGACATAGGGACCCCCATTTCATCATTCTGCTTCATTCTCTCTCTGTTCTCCTATTCTGCAGAATCTGTTAGTTCAATCTCTAACCTTCTGCTCTCTCTGCTTTTCCTCAGAGTAGCTTTGCCTCGTCTGTTCCTGTTTGGCTGTGACGTCATCCTGGAAAGAAACATCAGCTGTGCTGCTTCTATCAACACCCTTGTTTATAGATGTTGGAGATCGGCCTGTTTTCCAGTGTGGTCCTGTTTCTCTGACCGTGACTGAGTGGATGTGCTTTCTTCGTCCTCTGGCATGGGAGCTGCCTTGGAGCTCGTCTGCCTGGCTGTGTGTTTCCTGGACGGGGCCGCCTTTTACAGCTGCTTTTTGTATCTCTGCTTCTGTCTCCTTGAACCCCAGTGGGCCTCAGCAGATGGCCGCTCACACTGAGCCTGGTTCTGCTGGAGGTTTCTTCCTGTTAAAAGGGAGTTTTTCCTCTCCACTGTCGCTACAAGCATGCTTAGTGTGGGGGATTGTATTTGAGTCAATGAGTCAATGCAATCAACTGGTTTTCCTTAGATAGAAAACTTTGTATCAATTTGATCTGGTTGAACTGTAAAGTGCCTTGAGATGACATGTGTTGTGAATTTGGCGCTATATAAATAAACTGAATTGAATTGAATTGAATTGACAGATTAATCAATTTGCAAAATAATCGTTAGTTGCAGCCCTTGTTTAGAGACTAACATACTTACCTGCATCTGTGTGTTAAGACATTAGCAGCGTCTAATAGTACCCTGTATTTTCATTCATCCCTTTTCTACCTCTTCTCCACTTTTTATGTTCATTGCAATAAAACACATCAGTGTTTGTGGTCATACACCAACAATGTGTGAAGAAAGAACAAGGCAGTGCAAAGTGTGAAGCCGTTTCTGGTTGAATGTGAAAATGATTTGTTAGGCACACATTGAAGAAAAATATAACAAAGTTTAAGGGTTGTTAATAAAAAGTAATATTTAGTCCTCTCCATAAATGTTGAATCTTTTTATTCCACTTTGTGCCTGTAGGACTTCCTCCGCAACATCCCGGGCAGCATACTGTGTGTGGATCTGTACGAGCAGTGGATGGATGTGATGGAGGGGGATGGAGGAGAGGAGAGGCTGCCAGCTGTTCGGAGGTAAAAGCTGGAAATCCTGGAAGGGTTCATATTTAGCATCCAAATCCTTCCTGAATGCTCAGATTTTAGAATGTTTGCTATACAGATTAAATGCAGCGCTTTTATTCCAGAAGGAGCGACCTGGATTCCTTTAGCTGTGGGGGGAATAAATAACATGCAACATCAAAGCAGCAATTAAATCTAACTAGAAGTTGTTCAGAGCCCTAAATCTATAAAATGCACATACATTTATAGTGTTTTACCAAGCATAGATCAGCGTTTTATGGCAGATTGTAAACTTTCTGCCTACCTTTACATATCCTGTGTGCTGATCATCGTGTTGCAGGTTGCTCCACCTCCTTCCTAGTGAGAATCTCCTTCTGCTGCGTCACGTGATCGCCGTGCTGCATCACATACAGGTCAGCGCCCACGACAACCAGATGAACGCCTTCAACCTGTCCGTCTGTATTGCTCCCAGCATGCTTTGGCCTCCGACCCCGAGCACTCCTGAGATGGAAGGAGAGGCCACTAAAAAGGTAGAAATGACTCACTAACTGGGACTTTTTACTGTGCTGCAACTCATAGGCATCTAGTTGTTACTGTTTGGTTTTATTTAAAAGAATTGATCATGATTTAAGAAGATATGCTTATTTTTAAAATCAAGCTTTAAGAGGCATTACGATTATTCTAATGATACTGCCACCTGTGGCCAAAACACAGAATTGCAGCACTCTTCTGCTCGTTCTCGTAGCACGCACTCATACTTAACAAGGTTTTATTGACTTTTTTCCACAACACTTGAAGTTGCCCTTAGTGTCTGAGTAGAGCTGAATGAGGGTCGCTTCTGGATATATAAAAATCCAATTTTGAATATAATAATTTTAGGGCTGCAACAACCGATTATTTTGCAAATCGATTAATCTGTTGATTCTTTTTTTGACTAATTTATTAATAATCGGATAGCTAAAGAGTCTTTAAAGACTACTTCAAGCATATGGACAAATGGAAAATGATTGTTTTTTTTATTAAATGCAAAATGTTTATATATTTTTTTAACAATTTTGGTATAATTACTGCTCTAAATCGGATGCTCTGTCCATTTAATCCATGTTTCAGAGTCACTATACTCCAGTTAACGATTAATCGATTACTAATGAGTTGACGGTTATTTCAATAATCAATTAATCGTGATTAATCTGATTAATTGTTTTAACCCTAAACGATTGTTTGCTAGGTTTGGGCCATTTAACATGGACGCCCTTGACATGATATCCGCCAAAGAGCGCAAGAACTTTCAACCTGAAGTAATAAGATACAGGCTTCTAGATGCATCTTTTTCTGTCTGTTCATCAAAGATGTTTTAGCTGTAAATGGTAAAAAAAAAAAGGCTATTTTAAATATGATTTTTTTAAGTAAATGTGTACATAGAGTCTCTTTGAAATGTAGAAATAATATTTAGCCCAGAAATGGGTAGCAACTAATTACAGTAACTGTTTGACCAAAATGTACACTTTTGTTTTTGTTTGTTTTCTTTAACCTCTTGACCTACCATGAGTAACTTTTCTAAATTAAGAAAAATCACCAAATAGACATCAAGTTAAAGATAAGCTAAAATTAGTTTTTTTTTTTTTTTGTGAACAAGCTTAGTTGTATTTATTTTAATTCTAATGATATTAACATTACAATATTATTATGGCATATGGACATCGAGGTAATACACAGTAAAAAGTATAAATGGAAGTAGTTTTACCACTTTAACAAGCGCTATGTTACATATTGTGTTAGTTTACTAGGTTTTATGTCTTAAAGTTTTTAATTTGATCATTTTTTTCCTACTGTGAGTTTTTTATTTCAATTCATTTTAAGCTTGTACACTTTTATTTTTATCACTAAAGCACTGGAGTTTGCAGAATAATTTATGTTTTGGTCTGATTAAATAATTTTATAAGGAAATCAGATGCCATGATCAGTCAGGTTGATTAGCCTATTAGTTATTTACTCTTAACTGCATCATATTGTAAAAGGACACTTTTTACTTTTACTGGAGTAGAATATATCAAAGTTGAGCTACTCTTGATGTAGTGCAGTTTTTGTGGCCCTCCACCCTCCTCTCATTTAGCCTTATTGAGTTTAAAGGTACGTCACTTTTCCTGTGAGCGTTAACTATAGTTTTAACAATATGCAATCCACTGTATTTGTTTTAGTATTTCTGATAAGAACAAAAATGGAAAAAAAGCTGAAATAAAAAAGTATTGATCCTGCACTGCAAAAACGATCTAGAAATAAGTAAACATTTCTAAAATTAAGTGTATTTATCCTTATTTTAAGTAGGTAAATGAGATGGTTTGCCAATGGAATTAGTATTTTTATTCTTAAAATAAGATAATTAGATAATATGCACTTGAAATAAGACAATGCAATTTTGCTTTTCTTATTTTAAATGTAAATTGTCTTGTTCCATTGGCAAAATGTCTATTTTACCTCCTCAATCCAAGAACAAATGCACTTATTTTAAGAAAAAATTACTTATCTAGATTTCGACTTTTTCCAGTGTGTAGTGAAGGTGGAATTACTTCCAGTTCGTATTCTTTAAGAGATCACTCTTTAAATTACTCTTCTTCTTACAGTAAACAACTCTTAGACAAGACTTTAAATTTAACATGATTTTAACTAGGTTTATCAAAGAAATGATCCCAAATGCCATCTGTCTTATAAAAGCTCCTGCAGGAGCAGTATAGCTGTCATCACTGGGAGTTATCTGTCAGGCTGTAAAATAGCCCAGACTCCTCTGTTTATCCACATCTACATGCTGCCCTGAGATAACTGACAGTTTTTTTTATGCATGCTACATCTGTGAGGTCCACAGTGTCCCTGGATTATTTGATCATTTCCCATTAACTGCTTTCAACAGCTTCAATAAACACCAAAATGCATTTACTCAACTTACTAGGGTTTTTTCAACTATTATTAAGACCTTTTGAGTTTTGTCACACTGGTTTTACCTTTAAAGGCCAAAGGAAAAGACCGCTATCCTGAAAACCAGATGGTGCAAAAAGGAAGAACTGCATCCAATAAGAGGCTCAGCCTGACAGCAAGTTGGATTTTAGCATTAGCATAATGTCATATCATCTTAAGCTTGAGACAAACCTGATATTTATTCTTAACTTTTATTCAGTGGAATCATATGAGTAACATATTGAATTGGATCGTTGGATGACTAAACTGATCTTTGTCCTACATATAAGATTCACCAATTTAAAACTTTAAAATGGGATTTTTTATTTTTACTTTCAAGATTTAACCAACAAAATCATAACAGTAGAAATAAAATCAGCAATTTTGAAGCCCAAGTTTTGGCTTTAATCGTTCTAGTTTTATCCCTGTTTCTTATCTTTATGATAGCTTAACCCCCCACCCCTCTTATTGAGCCACAGGCTTATCCAGCCAACCTCCAGCAAGAAAATCCAGTGTGTTTCCCAAAACCCCTGAATAGCCAGATCTGTGTCAGTGTGACACAGATATTGAGCACTTTGTGTACAATTTCCCAGACAAACTCTGTGGAATTTTACATTTCAGCGGGATATTGTAAACAAAGTGCTCGAGTGTGACTGAGAGCGCGACTTCGAAACCAACCGTTACTGTAACAGTCGGAACGCCGAGAGGGGCCATTACCCAAGCCTTCACGTGGCAGCCGTCATAAAATGAAATCATCACATTCTTGTATTCGACTGAGGTTGAAACCTCTGATATTACGGCAAGACGTTACAGGAAAGCTGAAGCAATCTTAGGGGAAAGGTGCATATTTGTCAGTCATTAGCTCCAATTATCAAAACAAACCTTTGTTTATTAAACCAGCATGCTCATATAATTATTCTTCCTTTGTTGAATTAGGAGTTGTGGTATTTTATTTATTTCAATCATGTCATAAAGAAAGCCTAATCGTAACAAAAGTAATCATGCATTTAAATCTAATCCTAATCAATCATTTACTGTATTTCATATCATGCTTCCATTTAAGCTTGTCTATAAGTCATGCAATGTGTTTTTATTTTTCTCTTTAGTTAAAGATATTCGGAAATTATGGAGATAATTTATCATTAAAAAATGCTTAAACGGACTCCATACTCGAATTCATTAGTTCAGTATTATCTACAAACTGTAATATGATCCATTTTAGGACTGAAAAAAATTGGATTAATCATGATTGAATGTTAAAATAAGTGTCAACAAATTTTGTAATCGAATATTCAATATCTTGAATATGCAGACTCAAACATGCCATTAGCTGAAATAAAAAAACCCTCAGTGCAGTAGTTATACAATAACTGTAAAGAACAGAAACAGTTTGTGTTTTGTATAATTTGTAAAACTTAATAAGTATGAAAACAATTAAATCATTAAAAAGAAATTTGGCTAGAGAAAAAAATTTGAACATTTTAAATGTGTAAAAAATTATTACATTATTTTTGATCAGATAAAATTGGAAAAAAATGAAAATGAAAAAACAAAACAAATATGAGCAAAAAGAAACTTTTTTTTGGATAAAATTTTGTCAAAACTTTGTTTCTGTATTGCATTTTTCTGCTAAATTTCCTTTTACAAAACATATTCTTTGCTTGCAGCTGCACTAAACCACAATCCGTTGTCCATTTTTTTGCTGCTTCCATCAGAATCCGTCATGCAGCTCCTAAAAAATAAAATCCAACACACAACTCTTTCTGATTTGTATTCACTTTTAATAGTTTATCACCGTGTGACAAAAAGTCTCTGTGGGTGGCTGTTTTGCTTATCTTTTCAAATATGTGTGTGAAAGCGAACGTGTTTGTTTCTTGGAGTGGCAGCGGTTCATTGAGAAAACATTCAAAGAATTTCCTACACTGTTCCAACGCCAAGTATGTGTGGAGAATGGTGTCACTGAAAACCCCCCTTTTTTCTTTCTTTCACACTCACACACACACACACACACACACACACACACACACACACACGCTTGTCAGCACAAAAATCCTCGACACCCTCAAATACCAGAAGATCTGTTTCGCAAATACTCCCCTAGTCACATTTTCCTCACCACCACACTGGATGTTTGCATGTTCATTCCAACCATAGGCAACCTTTTTTTTTCTAACATGGAAAATAAGAAAATGTACAAAATAACAAGCTGACATTTGGACACTTCCTGCTGGTTCCTAACCTTGTCGGCAGACACGTGGACTCTGGGATTTAGCAGATTTTGTTTAGCCAGAGTGTCTGGTTCTCCTTCATGCAGTATATAATTTAAATGCTTTCGGCTGAACATATTTGTGTAGGAGCTTTTGAGGTAATTGCAGCTTTAGTTTGTGCACCCTTTGTTTTTCTCTCAACTGTGGTTTAAAAAAAATGCTTGCCAGCCTTTTACGTCTGCCTAGTTTGGCTTTAAGGCTACCATGACTTTTCTCTACCGCTGCTTTAGTGACTTCAAGATTCTAATTGTGCACTGATATACAGAGCCTTGCAAAACACCCATAAGCTAACAACACAATAGCCGTTTCCCAAT